TCACCCAGACTGGAGTGCAGTGGCACGCTCCTGGCCACCGCAGCCTCGACCTGCTGGGCTCAGGCGATCCTTCCACCTCAGCCATCCAAGTAGCTGGAACTACAGGCACGCGCTACCATGCCCGGCTAGTTTTTTGATTTATTGTGGAGATGAGGTCTCGCCAAGTTGCCCGGGTGGGTCTCCAACCCCGCGGGCTCAGGCAATCCACTCACTTCAGCCTCCCAAAGTGCGGGTTCACAGGCTGAGCCACCTAGACCGGCTGTAATTTTTTGATTTATTGTAGAGATGAGGTTTTGCCAAGGTTGCCCAGGCGGGTCTTGAACCCGTGGGGTCAGGCAATCTACTCACCTCAGCCTCCCAAAGTACGGGATTACAGGCTGAGCCACCGAGCCCGGCCAGCCTAGGAGTTTAAGATCAGCCTGGGCAACAAAGCAAGACCTCATCTCTACAAAGAAAAAAAAATACACACACACACAAAGGGTGGACCAAATAGAACTTGGAATTTTATTTATTAAAAATTGTGGCCAGATGTGGTAGCTCATGCCTGTAATCCCAGCACTTTGGGAGGTGGAGGCGAGAGGATTGCCTGAGTCCATGGGTTCGAGACCAGCCTGGACAACTTGGTGAGATTTCGTCCCTACAATATATCAAAAAAATTAGCCAGGCATGGTGGCATGCACCTGTAGTTCTGGCTATTTGGAAAGTTTAGGCAGAAAGATCACCTATGCCCAGCAGGTTAAGGCTGCAGTGGCCGTGAGTGTGCCACTGCACTCCAGCCTGGGCAACAGACTCCAACTCGAAAAAAAAGAAAAACAACTGTGTGTTTATTCTTGCATGTTTAAACTTCAGTCACCTTCAAAGTATTTTCCGCTTGAGCAAGCATGGGGCTCATGCCTGTAATCCCAGCACTTTAGGAGGCCGAGTTGAGAGGATTGTCTGAGCCTATGGATTCAAGACCAGCCTGGGCAACATGGTGAGACCTCGTCTCTACAATAAATCAAAAAGATTAGCTGCATGCGGTGGCGTGCTCCTGTGGTTCCAGCTACTAGGAAGGCTGAAGCAGAAGGATGGAGCGAGCCCAGCAGGTCAAGGTGGTGGTGGCCATGAGCGTGCCACTGCACTCCAGCCTGGGTGACAGAGTGAGACTCTGACTCAAAAAAACAACGAAAAAACTCAAAGAACTCTCCATTTGATGCAATACACCTATCAAGACACTTCTTCCATGGCTCAGAACAGTTTTTGAACTCATCAATTTCGATGGCTTTTAGTGCTGCCGCCCATTTTTTGGTTTCACCTCTTCCACAGCAGCAAAACATTTCCCTTTGAGGACTTTGTTCATGGAGAAACCAAAACAAGTTGCTGGGGGGGTGGGGGGGTGAGATCAGGTGACTAGGGAGGTGGGACATGGGGGTCACTCCGTTTCTGGTCAAAAACTGTTGAACACTCAGCATGGTGTGGGCAGGTGAGCTCAGAAATCACTCATCACGAAAGGGGCACACGTGCTGACTCTCCAGAAAAAGATCCACCGAAGCCAAACGCAGTCTCTCAAAACGATGCTAGCCGGTCCACGGACAACCACGGGTCCCTAGAACACTCACCCAGAGGGAAGCCTGTGCTATAAGGGACCCCCCCTTCAAAAGATGATGCCGGGTTTTTGGGTGCCCCCTCATGTCTGTGTGTGTGGTTTGTAGCACACAATACACACTCGGACGGGTCCCAGGCCCTGGCCCCAGACAGCTCTGTGGCCACTAGACTGGCTGCACAGATTTCCAGGCAGACGAGCAGTGACACTGCAAGCCACACTTCTCTTCCCGCAGCCTCTGCAGTCCACTGGCTTGCTGTGTGACTTTGGGCAAGCCCTCTTCCATCTCTGGGCCTTGCTGGCCTCTAGAAAACGACCAGGTTGTGCCTGGCCTGCCTCTTCTCCCGCGTGTGTGGAGGCTTCCGGGCATTCCTTCCGCACGAAGCTTGGGAGTCTGCTGCCCCAGAGTGTCTGAGAGCCCCACACCGAGTCACGTTTCTTTAACGGCCCTTCCCCGCACACAGCCTGGAGTCTAGATGTCAACCACCTACAGCCTGAGCAGGGCCTCCCGCCCCTCGCCCCAGCCCGCCGGGCCCACTCACTGGGGTTGGGCTGCAGCAGGACCTCCGTCTGCCTCAGGATCTTCTCCGTCCAGTTCTTGGTGCTGTCCGCCCGGGCCAGAAGGTGTTCAAAGTGGGCATCGAGCTCGGTCTTCTCGGCCTGGCCAAATTTCTCCTCCGTGAACTATGGAGGGAGGGCCAAGGGGCGGAAGGGCTCAGGAGATGGGAGGGGGAGGGGGAGGGGAAGGGAGGGACCCCAAGCGGGAAACCGGGCCCCAGGGTCCCCAAGGTGGAGGAACTCGCCTGCAGGTGACGCCCCGTGACCTGACGGGGTGTGAACACCCTGTCCTGGGCCCCAGTTTGTTCCTCTGTGAACTGGGGGCTGGACCGGAGTGTGGGAGTCCTGGGTTCTTCTGGAAGTCCCATGAAAGCTGTAGAGTCCCTCTTCTCAAAAATGCACATTCCTGCACAACCCGGCACTCACTTGGAGGGTGAGGCGCTCTTAGGAGGCCAGCTTTCTAGAGGCCCAGGCTTGGGCAACGGGGGTTTCTTACATTTCTTGTTTTGTTTGTTTGAGTTGCAGTCTCACTCTGTCACCCAGGCTGGAGGGCAGTGGCACACTCCCTCCCCGCCACCACAACCTTGACCTGCTGGGCTCAGGCAATCGTTGGCCTCAGCCTGCCTCAGCCTTCCCAGTAACAGGGACTACAGGCACGCGCTACCACACCCGGCTGATTTTTTGTTTATTGTAGAGATGAAGTCTCACCAAGTTGTCCGGGCTCAGGCAATCCTCTCCCCTCCCTATCCCTAACCCTCCCAAAGTGCTGGGATTATAGGCATGAGCCACCAGCTCAGCCCATTTCTCCTGTTTAATTCAAGGCTGTTTATCTAAACTACCAAGTTAGCACCTTTGAAGACTGTAACTTCCATCCCTCCTTTAAGGAACTATAAAATTTAAAGTCTGTGTGGTTGTAAATCCCAAAACTCACCTGAAAATGTCAGCATGATTAGGAGATTTTGGGTCCTAGGAAACTGCCCCACAGGCCTTGTTAGTTCAACCTTGGGGATGGTGGAGGGATTAGGAGATTAGGGTTCCTGCCTTTGGCAATTCAGCCTCGGGGCTGGGTGAGAGGCTTGTGGGAGAGAGATTCTGAGCCTTTTGGGTGAATTCACTGGCTCCATGGCATCGGATTAAACGCCCATTCCTCCCAGCTCTGCCTTTCATTGCTAATGGATCCCAAGGGAGACAGCAGCCGGCTTATGGGGCCAGAACGAGCTTGAAGGTCCTTGGAGCCTGCCTCTGAAGGTGAGGGCTTGGCAGAAAGTGCTGGAGAAACAAACGGTCTGGGTCCTCACGGGGCAGCATGAGGAGGTAGGAGCTGCCGAGGAGGGGCTGTGGGGGAGTGGGTGGGCAGAATGCAGGTTCTGGAATGAGGACCTGTCTGAAGACCTCATTCTGCCACTGTCAAGCTGCGTAACCCTGGGCAGAGGGGCTCTGCCTCTCCGCACTCAGTTTCCCCAGCTGAGAAAAGGGTGTAACAGCACCTCCCTCCTCTGTGGTAAGGAGGACAGAGGAAAGGTGTGGGTTAGACATAAGGGGCGTGTGGCGAGGGAGGAAGGTCAAATGGTTGGCCTGGGCCACCGCCCCTGCTGCCCATCAGAGGCAGCGGCTGGGCACACCCAGGGCTCAGGATGTCACACAGTCCTGGGTCAGAGCTGGCAGCGCCGTGGGAGCAACTTAGGAACAACCAGAAAGTGGCCCCAGGCCTGGCCCCTCTGGTCTGGAGGGGCCCTGGGAAAAACGGCCCCATTTTCCACACAGGGATACCAAAGCCTTGTCCAGCCAGGGAAAAGGGCCTGCCCGGCGTCACAGCCGAACAGCCAAGGGCTGACGACACGCAGGAGTCAGATAAGGCCAGCAACAGTTACTGCCGACCAGCCCCATCCTAAGGGCTTCAGGCCAGGGCCTCACCAGCAGTGAGGGCCAAGTGTCCCATTTCATAGACGCTGCCACTGAGGCTGAGTGAGGAGCAGGACAGTGCTGGAGTCAGGGTCAATAAGGCCTGGGGACTGGAGGCCCTTCCCAGAAGGACTTGGCAGCCTTGCATCGTCAGAGGCTGCAGACTGCTACAGCTACAGGGCAGGGCAGCCGGGCCAGCACGCCGCCGGGCAGCTCAGCGGACATCAATTATGTAGCAGGGGCTTGGGTTTCTCCCTGCAGGGCTGGGGGGGCTGAGGTTACAGCCCCCTCCAAGCCTGGCTGGCTCCTGCCTTCCTCACAGTCTCCAAACCGAGGCCTTCCAGATCGGGGTCTCAGATTTGCACCTCCCTCTGCACCACATCCCCGTGGCTCTTGAGGGGGGTGGCGTTTGCCCCATTTTTCAGATGAAGAAATAAGGCTCGGGGAGGCAAAGGCTTCTCTCTGGACCTCAGTTTCCCTCCTGGCGAGTGCAGATTACAGGATCTGTCTCACAGGGTATTTGCCAGCACACAGTATGGGACTGATGACTGTTCCCTGGTATGTACGATCATTATCATTAACAAAAGGCCTCAGCCTGTAATCCCGCACCTTGGGAGGTTGACATGAGTGGATTGCCTGAGCCTGCGGGTTCGAGACTCGCCTGGGCAACTTGGTGAGACCTCATCTCTACAGTAAATCAAAAAATCAGCCGGGCGTG